AGGAACATAGGGTTATGCTGGTAAACTCCATGAATACTGTGAAGGAACTATTGCCAGTACTTATTTCAGGTATTTTCTGCTTTAATTTTTCATAGTGCTCTGGATTTATGTCTATTCTGAACTAAAATTCTCATCTTGTGTTTATTGGAGATAACAGCTTTGACATTGCTTCTGCAAAGATGGCAGATAGCTGTATGATACAGTTCATGGCTTAGTGAGAAACATGGTGGAAATGTAATGCTCCTAGCTGTACGTCCTGCACACTTGACATGAGAATGACAAGTTACCTTATGATATACCATTAACTGCAGGTGTAGCAAAATGTATTGATTGGATTTACTGATTGCTCTTAAACGGTGGCTTGCTTTCTCAATAGTGAACTTTTAGATAGTTGTCCTTCAGCACATACTCCTAACAGAACTTGCATTAATACCATCTTGTAAGAATGGCGAGGGTCGAGGCTGGTCTGCTCGAGCAGCCCAGCTCCTGAGCATGGGGAGGATCCTAGAGACCTGCCCCGTGGGCTGGCGCCGCAGCTCCCTGCTCCGTGCTGTGCTCCTTGGCAAGGACACAAAGGTCCCACTGGCAGCCCCGTTTCCTTTCACGTGGAGGGCTTTGACATTGCTTCTGCAAAGATGGCCACGCGTAGGCAGGTGCTGGAGGCGTTAGCTTGGCCAGGACGAGCACGGCAACACAACTGGAGGTGCAGGTGGAGGCCGCTCCTTGAACCAAAGTGGTTTCCCAATCACATGAGGACAGTCATCTCCCCACTGCCTTGCCCTGATTTTTACTTGTTTAATAACTGCAAATAGGATATCTGCCTACATTTCCCTGGCTCTTTTCTTGGCATATTATGATATGTCTCGTGTTGAGGAGGAGCAAATCATTCCAGTTTAGAAAAATAAAAAAAACTTAAGGTCAGAATTCACCCAATTTTTAAATGAATCTTTTTTGTCAAGATTTTAAGGAACATGAAGTGTCCTTTAGATTCCTGACTCTGCTGCTGTTGCAAAATACATCTTTTAAAAGCTTCATGTTGTCCTCTGTCCCTCGTGTAAGGACACTCAGGGGAATGGGTGTGTTGCTGGTGTGTATGATCTTGACTTCTGTCTGCATTCGGGGGTGTTCTGGGCATCTGTTAGCTGTCTTCAGCTGCTGCTTATTTGCCACTCTAAAGGCTGATGGTTAATGCTGTGAATGGGGGACATTCGGTAGCTGTGAACTGTACATCAGCTAAAGGGAGATATAGTTGTAATCAGGTTCTCAGTGAAATAACGGAGGAATAGGAATAATAGTAACACAGATGGCAGATGACATAAAAGTGATTGGTCATCAGTGTTGTAAACCTAGTTTGAAAGCAAATAAATAAAATACATTAAATGTAATTAATGAATTAAAATAAATTATGTGAAATAAAAGGTGAAGTTCTGATAGTAGTTTGTGGATTTCACTGCACTGAACAACCACTGCTAGCAGCAGTAGTGAGGAGTTAATGACATTATGTGCAGAATGTACTAGTAATGAGGCATGAACATGCCTTAGCATGTGCATAAACCTGTGCTGCAGTGTTTAACAGTGTTAACTGCAAAGTATGAACATGCTTGGGACAAGAAATCAACTACTAGTAGCAGACTTGATTTCCATATCTGATACTGGTAAAAATACTGGTATAGATACAGTAGTCGTAATGATGGGGGGAAAAAAAGGGGGAGGAGATACAGATGGCTGTAACTACAATCACTTTATGATAAAATTGCCAATGCAAAATGAAACTGACTGTCTGTGTATTTATGTAGTAGGGGGTGCCTTTGAATATTGATTGCACCTTGCGGGCAGTTTGTTCTAATCAATGGTACCGTGTTCACAGCTATGAAGATATTTGTAACTACAAAAAATTCTAAAAGCCATGGAATAGAAGAGGCCTTGAAAAATCGCAATTTCACAGTAGAGAAAATGAGTGCCGAGATAAATGAAATAATCCGTGTCTTACAACTCACTTCCTGGGATGAAGATGCCTGGGCCAGCAAGGTATGTTTCACATCTGCCTTTTGTATACTCTGTGAAATCCTTATAAACTGGTGTTTTTGAGAAGGTTGACATATGTGCATGTTCACAGCACTATGCAGTCACACTCTCTTTAAGGTTAGAGAACATAATCTGATTTTTTCAGGGAATTTTTATTCTTTGAACAAAGAACATGTTCTGAGACAATTGGCTTATTTTTCAACATTTACTTTTCTCTCTTGAATGGCTAAGTTAAAGGAATTTGGCTTTGAAAGTATTTTAATGGATTTTTGGAACTGAATGGTCACCCAGAAGACTTAGAATTCTTCACCTTTTGGTTTTGGCTTGATTAGGAAATTGTGGAAGACAATGTATGTCTCAAAGCGTTTCTTGTCACCTTGTGATCTGATAACTCGTGGAGGTACAATAAGTATGTTATGTCCCCTAAACTAATCCTGTAAATAGACACCCCTAAGGTAATCTACCTTAGATTTCCCCCCTAGAAGTTAGAAAAGTTAGGCTGCAGTCATTCCTCATGCAGAAGGCTTTTGTGATTTCCTCATGCAGAAGTCAGCAAGTTTCAGTAATGTGAGATGCTTACTTCTCCCCTGTTTTTGATTTGGATATGGAAGAAAATTTCAAGTGTTTGCGTGTCCCTCATACAAATAAATAAATCAAGTGCCCAGGACTGAGCAGCCTTTTAGGATGAGAGTGAACTGAATAAAGCCTGGGTGCTGAAATGTGGACAGTGTAGGTTCCTTGTGACCCTGTGCTAAGTTGTGGCTGCTGCTACTTACCTGGAAGGCTCACGTGATGCTCTTAAAGGATGCTTGCTGAATATAGGGGAAATGTTTCAGATCTGTGTGTTACACCACAAAGCTTCCTATGATGGGCCAAATGAGTGAAGTGCTGTTTTGGGCTTATGAGTAAATGTTTTATAGGTGACATTCCTGCCAATTTATTCAATACCTTGATGTACATTGCTAAAGGAATTTTCTTTTTTTAAGGGTTAGTACTGCAAATAAATAATCAAATATATTCAAAGAAAGTATTGAGACCTGATGTTGGACTTATTAACAACCCAAATCTCTTACAGATAACCTAACACTGATGCAATCAATTAAAATCACTTTGGCCTATATTGTTTGGCACTTGACCTTTAGTTTGCCTTTTGAGTTATTTTGACACTATCACTTCCTTATTATGACTACTTTATGCATCTTTGTTTTTGTTCTCCTGTTTCTTACTCTTTTCTCACCTTTAGAAGGTAAGCTTTCTTCCACACCCTACACCTCTACTTTGTACTAAAACAAACCAAGCATGCCTGTGGGATTTGTGCTGTGTGCAGGCCGTGTGCTGTGTGACTCTTCTGTGTGCCCGCTGTAACACCATACTTATGTATATGCACATAGAAGTTTTGAAAGGATCGTAATAGTCCTGTCGAGCCACGTGGAATTGGCTGTCACTGAGTGGCGATGGCGAAGTGAACTACAACAAGACTCTTTCAGACACTGATTAGAGCCAGCCCGAGGTTTTAGAGCACCTTCCTCCTGAATGCTGTTGGGTTATGTTACTGGTCTGTAGCTACAAATAAAAGGAACTGGTTGTGCAGGAACAGGCTTTCTGCAGGCCCAGAAAGGTTTATTAAATCAGGAGTTTTGTCTGTTCTGTAGCATTCCATCAGCACCCTTCCTGCAGAGTATCAGGCCAAATTGTTCATGTTCTTCAGGCTTAGGCCTAAAGCCTGAATTTCATGGGGATGTTTTTAAATTCATTGTTATTATTGGATTTAATCATTCCTGCATTTTCCTAAATTCCAATGCAATTGATCCACAATAAATCTGGAAGCCTTCATGGTAAGAAATGATTGTGTTACAAAAAGTTATTAAGCTAGGCTTAGAAAATTCTTTTATTTCTAATAAAGGCGACTACCACGGATTTCTTTAATAGAGTTATTGGCATATTAATAGTATCTGCAAATGGAAAATCTTGGCCATTATGCTTAATGCATAAGTATATTGTGTGGACAAGTATATCAAAGTATTGCTTTGTTTTCAGAATTAAGACAATCATTAATTCTCAATTGCAGCTTCACTTTGCAGAATTAGGGTACTCTGACCTGGAGCTGTAGTGTTGTATATGAACCACAAATTAAAATGTTTGTGGTGTAAAATTTTTTTGAGTGCAAAATTCAATAGTAGCGAGAAGTTGGAGCCAATTTTCTGATGGCCAAGTATTTTGGACCTTTTTTCCTTATATGTCTATATATGTTCGTTTGTTTATCTCTCTGAGAGAGGAGGAGTTGTTGATTATAATATGACATTCCTCTTGCATGCAACTTCTGCCTGGCCGTCAAAGGAAAGATTTTTTTTTTTTTTTCGCATGCTTTCCTGAGCAAAGAAGGGTCTGTTTGGGAACAGACTGACTTGAATTTTGCCAGTGTAATACATGCTACTTTTGATGTTGGGACTTATTTTAAATGCGCTATTCTTTCTTTTATTGTGTACACATACAAATATCATAAAATCTATTTAGATGTAGCAGAGGAGGAATAGCTGTAGGCTTTTTCCTGACACAGCTATTCTATCAGACTATCCTTAGAACCTGAAGTGTGCAATACTGTTACGGATTGCAATAATGTCTATTTGCACTAACAAAATGGACTTTTTTTTTTAAAAAAAAATGTATGCTGATTTATAGCTGAGATACTGGACAAATACTGATCTCTGCCAACATCTTATAAACAGAAAAAAAATCTATAGTTGTTTCCTGTCTTTGTAGTTTTATCTCAGATTTTATTTTACTGAGAAGTTTAACTTTCTCCTTTGTATTGTTAACTGTGTTCCACTTTTTAAAAATTTAAAGTAATATTGAATTCATACGTCTTCTATTTGCATGGTAATGGAGGGGGTTAAAAGTTGTAGGAGGCTGAGAAGTATCTAGTATCTTGCAGGCTTGGGCCTGGCTGGTGACTAAGCTATATATTCTGCCAGAAGGCTGCCGTTGCCTATTTCCTTCAGCATTCCCTTCTTTGGTAATGAAATGCAGACATCGTTAGACGAGACCACTTAATTGAGTCAGCAATTGTATTTTATATTTAACAAGGGATTGTGCTGGATTTCTCCATTTCCTTTTCAAGGCACTGCCAATGCCACCTGCTGTATGAATAATCTCCAAGTTCTTCAGAGTGGTAAAAGTGGTGCATAAAATATCTTGGATAAAGTGCTCATTTCCCTTAGGAACTGACTTTCAAAAAGGCCGTTTACTCTTCCCCCTTCAGGGAGTGTTGCCCTAGGCATTTAACTGTTTTAGTTTTTCTTTTCAAAAGGCAGTAGTGCTGATTTTGCTCCTTTTGCCGACTAGATGTGGGGAAAAAGAGGGGAGAAAATAGATTTTGCAGAGAAAACTACACTTGTGGGATAGCTGTGGATTTCTTTCCTTGCTCATAATGGTGGTTCTGGCAAATCCCAGATGGTCAAGTCTTTAATATATAGCTGTTTAGAAAAAGACAGCACACTTGAAGAGCTATAGAAATCACTAATGTCAAGACTTGGTTTCAAGATCATGAACAAGTGTGTTCTTTTTCTTTTTCTTTTTTTTCTTTCTTTTTTTTTTTTTTAGTTTTTAATTGAAAGCTTCTAATTCCAACTTCTGCTTAGTAGCCTGGATCAGTGGAGAAATCCAGACATTTCAGGATGGCTACATGTTTGTTTCTTGCCAAAAAACACCACCTGATACAAAACTGAGGTGGAAGCAGAAGTGAAATAGTAAGTGCAGTTCCAGGAAGCCTGGTTAAGGATGACTTTGCTTGGTCTATTTAAAAATCCCTTCTGTTGCACTGAAGTAACAGCTCCTTACCAGGCTAAAGTTGGAAGTGACTCCTGGCCTTGGCAGTTGGGGCTGTTAAGATGGGAAATCTGTGTTTTAAGAGTTGTTCAGAAACACTTTGCTGCACTAGGATTTTACCAGATTTTTTGAAGTAAGCGAGGGGAATGGTGCTTGGCCAACAACCCCAGCGTCCGTCAGGAGCCACGCGGGACAGCAAGACTTGCACTGCACAGCCCAGTGCAGCTGCACAACCCTCACAGGATGGAAGAGATGGAACCTTTGTGGCTTGGGTAGTGTTGGCAGTCATGAAATCCTGTGTGTAAAAGGTAGCTTTGATTTTGCCCCTCAGATGAGCCTTAGACTGAGAAGCTTCTGTCCCATTTTGCTGAAGCTGCAACTCTGCATGCAGCTGGGGCCTGCACAAAATCTTCCTTGGGCAAGAAGGGAAAGGACTTTGCCATTTCTCCTCCCCTCTCCTTTTCCATCCTTTCTTTCCCATACCAGGCATCTCATCAATATACTCAGCAACTTCTGTCACCTTTTTAAAGTTCAGTTAGTTTTGTTTGAAATTATTTATGGGGCAGGTGTCTCTACTCTCAGCAGGGTATCTCCCCCTGCTGCCTGTTACTGGGTCTTGGTGCTCAGAACAGGCTCCTCGCTGTAACAACTGCACATGGACAGTCAGACTCGGTTACTGGTGCGAGGTTTGGGCTTCCCTGCAGCTGTGTATGAAAGAGCTACTTTGGCCTCGTCCCAACTCTTTACTTAAGGCACTTACTGCTCTGACCATCTTTACATTTGTTTAAGATATAAAACTTCTGGTCTCTAGTGGAGAGATGACGTGGACAGTTAAGAGAGTGTGCAGGGAGATGAGAACTGGACAGTCTGGTCTCCTGGCAAAGATATGCTAGATAAAGCAGGATAGAAAATCAGCTTTTCTGACACTCATGGCAGCAAGGGTCTGAGTTTAAAACATATGTTCATGTGGTTTAAAATTTCTAGAGACTCCATATGGAAATTGCAGGAATTAAATGACACTCTGCTTTTCTTCAGCTTCTTTCTTTATAAATGACAAACGGCACCTGTTTGACTTTAAATAGCAGAAGTTTTTTTTAATAGAAAAAAGCAAATACACAAATGCACATCCTCTTACACAAAGCAGTAAAATTCACAGGTCAATTTCCACTGTTAAAAAGTTGACTCTTTCAAGTCTTGTGAATGATAGTCTCATTGGTCTATTTTATACATGCCCTATTGTATATTAAGGGGAAAAAAACACTAACTGCAAGATGTGTGCTTACTAGAGCTTTGATTTCAGAAATTAAAACACTGGTATATAAAGGACTGGAAAAATCACTATAAACTTGCATGCACATTTTCTGCATTTTGAGTGATGAAAGCATCTGTCCTCGGAAAGGAGTGACTCTGACCTGCTGGTTTGAAAACTGGTTTGAAGCTGCTTATATGGGTGCGCTTCTGTAAGGAGGTGCTGCTTTAGAACCGTTCTGTCTGCTTTGGTGTGTTAACTATCTGTGGTGTGTTTTTTTTGAGAATTGTTACGGTGTTTTCTTTTGCAAAGGACACTGAAGCCATGAAAAGAGCTTTGGCCTTAATAGATTCTAAGATGAACCAGGCAAAAGGGTGGCTGAGAGATCCAAATGCACCTCCAGGTAATACTTAATAAAGAAAAACATTTTGATTTTAAAAGCCTAAATAATTATGTTGTGTAAAACAGAATTGCCTTACATAATTGACTGTGCAAGGTAGATCATTCTGAATGAGCATTTAGAAATTCCTTTTTTAAATAGTGAAGATCAAGCAAATAAATTACATGCCTAATGACACAGGAAGCTTTGGTTGTTCTAAGGTATCCAAGTAACTGTTCTATATGGTACACATCATTGTCTTCCTTTGCATTCTACTAGTAAAATATAAAAACTAACATGGAAAAGATGCTGTAAATACTGTAACTGCAGATGTGTCATCTTGATATAAAGGTTTTGCCTTCCTATGCATCTTTATAGCTCCTAAAACCAGCTGCAGGCCTTTCGTGTTTATATGTTGAAAGCCCTTATATTAAAGGTTTCCTCTGAAATGGAAGCTAAATATACAGTTGTAAATGTTGGGAGTGAAATATCTGTTGTTATTAAGCTGCTGCTTAAATTTGTTTTGACCTCGTCCCCCTTGCTGCACTCAGTTCCAGAAAGTTCAGGTCCTTGCAAAGTCTTCTGTCATTGACATGGACAATTAAGGAAACAAAACAAAAAAAATCAGTAGTTAAGGACTTTGAAAACATGTAGCAATTGGTTCAAATCAGATCTTTCTGGATATTACTTGGAAAAAAAAATCTTATATTTTTGTCATTCAGAGGTTTTTACTGCAGCACTTACTCTTTGAACTACTTTCATTATTCTCATTTCATGGGGGAACTGGTGCTTTATGGATGAGGAAGATGCCAGTACCTGTATTGCTGGGGATGTGGTGGGGGATGGTTACAAGGAGAAATAATCTTGATCTGCTCTTGCCAAATGTAAGTCACTTGCAAGTGGCTGAAGTTAAGGCTAGCTGAACCTTTCCACATTGCTCCTTCTCTTCTCACCTGGAGTGCATTAGAAATTCTGAAATTGAATCTTATCCAAGATTTAATCTATTGCAGAATGAGTAAATGATTTGAAGCACATAGCACATGATGCACAGTACTGTGTCTGTGCTGTACTGGTTCAGAAGTATTGTCCCATTGTAAGATTTATTCCACTTCACCCATGTCTTGTCCTTTTGAATAAATGCACTCCCAAATTTGACCCTAATATAATCAGTGTGGCAGGCTAAGATGAGATTCCTGGTTATCAAAGAATATCTTATTTGACATTTTGCTGACTGACACCCCGTCTTAGGAGATGCTGGTGAGCAAGCAATAAGGCAGATCCTTGATGAAGCTGGGAAAGCCGGAGAACTGTGTGCGGGCAAAGAACGCAGAGAGATTCTGGGCACGTGCAAAACACTGGGCCAAATGACCGATCAACTGGCTGATCTCCGCGCTAGGTAAATTGGTCACCTCTAGTGGATTGATTTCCAATGATATTAGAACAGTTTTTCTGAACTTGCAGTTATGTTGTTTCTTATCCCATAGGAGAGCAGGGCACTAACTGCATTATTTATTAATTCATTATTATTATTTTACTGTTATTGTGGTTACATTGCTGTGGTGTGGCATGCGAGTATTTCATTATCTTCTGATAAGAGTAACTTGCTTTAATATATAAATCCTTAGTTACAGGATATATTGGGACAATGATGAGCAGAATTGCTCAGGTAGATAACTCCAAGTAACTCCGAGTTTGTTTAATGTCCAATGCAATTGTCCTTCAAATTATGCAGAAATTAAATCCTAAACTCTGCTATGCCTCTTCCCCATAGAAGATATCCTAATGACCATCACATGCATGAGTATTGTGATTATTAGGTGTTTACTGGGATGTTGGACTACAGTAGTTGTTGAAGTTAATCAGTTACTGATAAATTCTTCAGAACCTGATCTGTCTGTCTTCTCTTGGTGTTCAAGCCTGATGTAACTGGAGTCCTTTATCACTTTTCTGACTTGTCACTTAAAAAATGGTTATTCCTGTAATTGTTTCTTTTGAGTGTGAGGATTTTTCACAGCTTTGTCTCAGTGTAATTAATCTATAAGCTGTAATGCTCTAATGTTGATCTATGTTTTTCTGATGGTCTTCTCCCCCATTCCACCCTTAAAAACAAGAAAATCAGAAGCCCTCAGAAGCTGTACATAACAGAGAGACAAGCAATGATGGCATAATATTTTCTTCTTATATTAACATGTATCTTGCAAATTGTCAGAAAAAGTAGTAGGAGTTAGAAGACTTCTTTCTTCTAGAAAAATAAATGTCCTTTATTTAAATACAAGCATCTCTTCTGACTTTATGTAAATATAAGAAATGTAGGAAATGAGCAAATGCAAAATATCTGAAGCGCTGAACAAATTTATTGTTGAGTCCTGAGCTGAGTCTGTGCTGCTTTTTCTCTGTCTTGAGCAGAGGACAGGGTGCCACCCCAATGGCTATGCAGAAAGCGCAGCAGGTCTCGCAAGGTCTCGACTTGCTCACTGCCAAGGTGGAGAATGCAGCCCGCAAGCTGGAAGCCATGACAAACTCTAAGCAGGCAATTGCTAAGAAGATCGATGCTGCTCAGGTACCAGTTCTGAGTTAATAAATGATGGGGGAAAAAAAAAAAGGTTAAACTACTGCTGTTAGCTCTGTTAGGCTAAACTTGTGTAGGTGTTTCCAAACACAATGCACCTACTCATCAGGAAGACCGTATACTTGATTTAACAAAAGCAAATCTTAATTTTGTAACACTATAATTCCAGTGTCTGTGAATTTTTTTTTTTTTTACAGCCTATGGCTTTTTTGTTGTTGCTGTGTTTTTAGCAATGATAAACCATTTACAAAGAGTTTCAAGGATAAGCACATAAAATGAGGAAGCATTCTGTAAATTCAGACTTAAATTGATCTGATTTAAGTGAAGTAGAGGAGTTGCAGACTGCACCGGGAAGCTTCCTTAGCCTCTGTTTTGGGAGTACTAGAACAGATTTAGATCCTCATGCTTTTGATGACAAAGAGCAAGAAGGTGTTTTTGTAACTTTTAATCTCCTTCAGTTTTCAGTCTATTACCCAGTCATAAAGTTCATAATCATCAGCTAAGGAATTTTGTGTGTGTATATAATATAGATATCTTGTCCAGATATCTATATACAGAGAGATACATATCTATATATTCAGGTTATGAATTGGGTAATGAAAACTTTTAGAAAGAGCTCCATAGCAAAAGTTACATAGTCCACAAGAGCATCTGTCTTCATTTTTCTTCTAAAAGCTGAACTGTGGGTCTCTGAGACATCTGGTTAAATGTTGCTTTTGAAAAGATCATTGGCAAATGCAGGGGAGAGTAGGCTCATTTAATTTACTCATATTTTTCTGAAGTAAAACATCTGGCAGATAGAGCTCCAGGGTATATACTGAACAGAGATTTTTTTTTTCAAAAAGTATTTTCTGTTAAATTTTTGAAAGCTGTTTTAAGTCTGTAGAAATAGTGTTGCTGTTCATTTTCACACCTATGCAACTTTTCTATTAAGAATTGGCTAGCAGATCCTAATGGCGGCAGTGAAGGAGAAGAACATATTCGGGGAATTATGGCTGAAGCAAGGAAAGTGGCAGAATTGTGTGAAGAGCCTAAGGAAAGAGATGATATCCTTCGATCCTTGGGAGAAATCTCTGCTTTGACAGCTAAGCTGTCAGATCTACGAAGACAGTATGTGTTTGTCACTTAATTTATTTCAATTCCATTTTCTTGGTTGTTCAAAGCGCAGAATTTATTATTCCCCAATTAATCATCAGTATTTTCAATATGTTTTTCCAAGAAACTGAGAATGAATATCTGAAACTTTGTTTTTGTCCAGCTAAAATGCTAAGAATCATTCACTTCCCAGAACAGAAAATAAAACATTTTAACAAGCTTTTTAAAATTTAACATTTTAAAAACTTATTGTCCGCTTGAGTATTTTAATCTATTTAATTATTTCTATCGGCAAACTGTCGTTATGATAGGTTCCCCTTATAGAAAATGTGAGTAGCTAGAGGTGCACATCTAAATTTTTTTCCTACTGCTTATGGAATGTTTGAATGGCAAACTGAAGCCCAAGCCCCCTCCTTTCACTAACAAAGCACTTCAGAGGAACCAGATGATGTGAAATTTGTTTTTTTTTTGTTTGTTTATTTTGTTTTTTTTATATACAAACAAATGTCACTACTGATTCTTTGCTAAGCAGTTACTACGAGAGAGGGTGGAATATCTAGCACTTCAGTCTTTTATTAGTGTTCTAAGATGTAACCATAAGCTATATAAAACCATATGTTTTAAGACTTGCAGAAAAACCTGTAACTTGGGTTCTGTGCTCAGTTGCAAATGCTGTTTCTTTGCCAGTTTTGCAAGAAGGCTGCTTAAGAACAGACTGAAACAGTATTGTATGAAGTCATTTTTCATCTCTAATCAGTTACAATAAGAAATACTTTTTATTAGTAGCAAACTAAAGTTTTTATTAATATTTAGCTGCTGGAGTTCTAAATATGTTACATCTTTTCTAGCTTTTGAATAGCCTTGGTTGCTGCTTCTTTTTGTTTTTTAATCTGTGTGGCTTTTCTGCAGTAATTCATAAGATGACCATGGATGTGGGAAATAAGTCATATGTTAGTACTGTCAGTGACATTAACATATCACATTAGTGTTGTGTTGAACATAAGTGCCATAGGAGCCCCAGTAGAAAAATATGAGGTAGGGATTTATGGATGGATCTTATAACAAATAATGCAGATCTGTGAGGTCTCAATTTGACCTTCTTTAAAAGGACTAAAAATTCCTTTGCTTGTGTTCTTACCTGCCCTATAAATGAATTTTGGGCTATAGGAATTTTTATGACTTTGACCTTTTTCTTTTCCTTCCTTTATCCTCAGTGGAAAAGGTGACTCTCCAGAGGCCCGTGCATTAGCTAAGCAAATAGCGACATCGCTTCAGAATTTGCAGTCCAAAACAAACAAGGCAGTAGCAAATACTAGGCCAGTTAAGGCAGCTGTCCATTTGGAAGGAAAGATTGAGCAAGCTCAAAGGTGGATAGACAATCCTACAGTTGATGATCGGGGAGTAGGTAAGTGTTTCTCCATACTCTTCTGGAGCTTTTCCCTACTTCCTTACCTATCCCAATTTTACAGTTAAACCTGTTGGTAGTTTTTGACTTAAACTACTGTTCCTCAGAGGCTTGCCATACACAGGATCTCTTTGCTAATACTGTGTTCATAGCTGTTGCTCTATAGCCATGTTCTGGCTGCAGTGCTATTGAATCAAGCTGGCCTGTGATTCATTTGTTCTTCTGGAAAGAAGAATTTTCCCAGAGAATGGGAAAATAAGTAATGCAGAAAAGGTGAACTGTAAACTCTTTACTTGTTTCATCTTACAAATACAGCGTCTCAGACTTGAATTTATATTTAATCCAGCAAATAGACAAATTTAGTTTTTCAGAGAGGACAAAAGCGTTATAACCATGGTTTAAAAATGGCTTCACCTCATGAGGTTTTTACTTTTGGGGGGGAAAATGCTACTTGATTAAAGTAATCTGGAAATTCAAGCATGCTCTCAGTGGTCATGTAATTATGCCAAAAATTTCCAACTAGAAAAGATGCACTTAAAAATGGAAGAACTCCGAAATGTCCTTTACACAGTTATGCTCAGGGCTTTTGGATCTCCTATATATAACTGCAGTATGTCTTCTTCCACTGCAGGCCAGGCAGCAATTCGGGGCCTGGTGGCAGAAGGGCGTCGTTTAGCCAATGTCATGATGGGACCCTATCGTCAAGACCTGCTTGCCAAGTGTGACCGTGTGGACCAGCTGGCCGCTCAGCTGGCCGACCTGGCGGCCAGAGGGGAGGGAGAGTCCCCTCAGGCCAGGGCAGTCGCTGCTCAGCTTCAGGACTCCCTGAAGGTAACAAGCCTTGCAGGTGCATCTGTTCTTTTGCAGGGAAACACGAGAGGCACTGAACTGTTGTACCACTCCAGTTAAATGCCTGTATGTGTGAGGCATCAGTAAGAAGAAGAAGCTGTAGCAAAAAAAGCTGTATAGGTAAAGAATGTGCAAGAGGCTTTTTGGTTGTTGCGGAGAGACTGTATTTTCTAGAGACGCTTAAAGCAGACTTTCTTTTTGCAAGAAAATATATTGATATTTGAATACAAACTCTTAGTGTTACTGTGTTTTGTAGTAATACCTTTTTTAAATTATTTTTTAAAAGGATCTTAAAGCACGGATGCAAGAAGCAATGACCCAGGAGGTATCTGATGTTTTCAGTGACACTACAACTCCTATTAAATTGTTAGCAGTAGCAGCCACTGCCCCTTCTGATGCTCCCAATAGGGATGAGGTAAGCACTTCTTTCTCCGTGTGAAATTTTTCCCATGATGTTTGTGTCATGTTGCCTATAACATGCTAAAAAGTGCTGTGCAGGAATCACTAATTAACATGGTAGATTGTGTATCTCAACACATGAACTGATTAAAATAGACTCATGCCAAGTTTCATCAATCTACTAGATCTGTTCTTTTGCTGTGTAATTTTTTTCCTGTATTTCAAGGCTAGTGGCTTCACGAGAAGTATCTCAAACTCTGGTGGGAAGCTCTGGCTAATTGGCTTGAACATAATCAGAATGATTCCCAAGGCTTTAGGAAATTAAGCTTTAACAGTAGGATTGCTTTTGCCAAAGTATTCTGTGCCTTGACTGTCAAGGGAGCAATTTTTTTTTTCCAATATGGAGCTTCAATTTCTAGGATAAAACTCAGTATTTATCTTCTGAAAGTAAATATTATGGTTTATAGGTTTGCAGGTTAATCTCCACATGCTGAACCAGGAATTTTATTTGTATTAGCTCTATTTTTTACAGCTGTGGTCAGGAATTAATGTATTTAATATCTCAGTGATGTAAAAGAGTGGTAATATCCCTTGATGGGGTAGGTTAGCAATTGAAAGTCTGATGACATAAAGACTAAAAAAAGTTCTTCAAAACTTGTGTCCTCTTGCATGCTGTCAGAAATGTGTTAAGTTGGGACGTTATGAACGTGTCCCTAACACTTAAAAAGAAATTGTCGGTTCTGTTAGAGAAGTTGTGCTTGGGTCTAACCTATTTTCTCTGCTTACAACCAGGTGTTTGATGAAAGAGCAGCAAACTTTGAAAACCATGCTGCCAGACTGGGAGCTACAGCAGAAAAAGCAGCTGCGGTTGGAACAGCTAATAAAAGTACTGTGGAAGGCATTCAGGCAACTGTGAAATCAGCAAGAGAACTTACCCCACAGGTTTGCTTTCTTAGTCTCAAAATGGCCAGAAAAGGACCTCTGTGTTTTCTTCTGTGTGCTTCTGCTATTCCTTGATAGGACAATGGCAACTGTTTCGTTTTATGCTATAAAGTAGAATAAGCTGATGAAATGGCATGTCCTATTCTTACACTTCTGGACAGAATCCACAGTGAATTTATCCTTTGAGCACTGGAACAGGCTGCCCAGAGAGGTTGTGGAGTCTCCTTCTCTGGAGATCTTCCAAACCCGCTTGGATGCAGTCCTGTGCCACGTGCTCTAGGTGTCCCTGCGTATGCAGGGGGGTTGGACTAAATGATCTCTAGAGGTCCCTTCCAACCCTAAGCATTCTATGATTCTATGATTCTATCCTAACAGCAAAATTACTTTGAAGGTTAAAAAACTATTTAAGTGGAAAATACATTTTAATGTTTTTCCCAATTAAGCTTTCTGGCATTTTTTCAGTAATGAGACTATCCTTGGTGTTGTTTCTTTTTAGTGATTTCAAATATTTTGCTTAAACTATTTTTGGTGTATGATAAACATGTAATGGAAACTCCAGGAAACACTGCTTTTGGCAATGAATTCTGGAAGTACTGTAAATCTTAATGCAGTTAAATGTTGATAAATTAAAGTATTACAAGTGTGGAGCTACACATCCAGTCCTGAAAGACCAATGCCTTTTCAAGAACACGCATGATATTCTTAAGTACTGGTATTTTCATAACTGAAAATGTCTTCCTTTGGCAGGTGGTATCAGCTGCCCGTATTCTCCTGAGAAATCCTGGAAATCAAGCTGCTTATGAGCATTTTGAGACCATGAAGAACCAATGGATTGATAATGTAGAAAAAATGACAGGTAAAATGGTAATTTCTGTTGAAGACCGTGTTTGTGCCTGTTTAGCTGGTGTGCTTCCATTCTGTTTGGATTGATGGATCATGCATAAAAGTAATAATTAATTGAATATAAATAATTTCAGAGAAATAAGAGCATGTGCACTATGGCCCCGGAAAGGTATATGTTGTACAGCCTATTCACATTGTTTCGGAGGTGTTAATTTTTAGCATTTGGAAGAACTAAATTGGGCTTTAGCTCCTCCTTGAGAAAAACAGAATCTTTTCTTGTTTATTGTGCTTGCTGATTTGTAACAGTCTATCCCTCTAGCAGCCAGAGTGGTTTTTTTTGTTCTTTTGCTTTCAGCATGACCTTGGTGTGCTGAATGAGGTCAGATAATTTAATGGAGGCAAGAAAATATGTTCAAAATAATAGAACAGTTTGGTGAAAGCAATGAATGAAACAGAGCTACTGATCTCCTACTGAATTGTTCTCAGACAATTAAATGCTTCAGCTCTTCTGAAGCGCAGATCCCCCTGCACTAGGCTATTCCCTAAATACTTTATTACCACTTTCTTCAATCCCTTAACTGTTTTGTGGGTATTTTAAACATGCTTTGTCACTATATATCACCCAGATGGAGAAAAAAGCACAGCTGGAGGGGCCTTTCCTTTTGTATGAAAGGGAGAAGTATACAAAAAAGTCCTGAATATGCATAAGGAAACTTGATGGGAGGAGGCAGCTCTGCTGCATGTACTTTGCATGCCAAGTCTGGGATCCTGCTACATCCCAGGGCAGAAGAGTAAGAGCCCACAGTGTCATTCGTGGGAGGAAGCCTCCATCAGCTATTCTGACCACAGTCAATGGGCTAGATGGGCCACATAATCAGAAACAAAACTGCAGTAATACAGTTAGTCCAGTCCCCATGACTGTCGTTTGGAAATATTTATTTTTCTTATGGTAACTAGTTCCTGGAATATTAATGTGTTTAATTTTTGTCCTAGGATTGGTGGATGAAGCCATTGATACCAAGTCTTTGTTGGATGCATCAGAAGAGGCTATTAAGAAAGATCTTGATAAATGTAAAGTTGCAATGGCCAATATTCAGCCTCAGATGCTGGTTGCTGGTGCCACCAGCATTGCTAGGAGAGCAAACCGCATCCTCCTGGTTGCAAAACGGGAAGTTGAAAATTCTGAGGACCCTAAATTCCGGGAGGCTGTTAAAGCAGCCTCTGATGAGCTAAGCAAAACTATATCCCCAATGGTAATGGATGCAAAAGCTGTGGCAGGAAACATTTCTGATCCTGGTAAGGATTTAATGAGCTGGTTTTGAATGCATTTCTTTGTGGCTGAAAATGCCGGGAAGTAGTCCTCATTTTGTCCTGTTAACATGTCTGCAAACTTGGTTTAAGCTTAAATGCTGTAGTGAGGAAATTGAGGTCATGCTATTAACTGCTGGATCTTGGTCTTGTTGAACACAATCAAAGAGCTGAAAAGGATTCTATATTTTAGTCTCATGTGATTTCGTGATCTTAACTGGTGACAAATACATATTTTAGAAAATCAGGTGTATTGTACAATAAAGTATTGTAGAACTTATTTAGAATAAATACTGTTATGGGAACTATGTTATTCATAGTGGCTGTTTCTCAGTCTGACAACTAGCATTTTGAACATGGAAATTCAGTGTAAAAGTAGTTTCTAAGCATAATTTCACATAGGTACATGTGCAATCTGCGCAATAATTTCCTGTTGGTGTTCTAGATGATAAGAAATGCTAGGCTTCATTGAAAGTAAGGTGAGATTTTTTTTTTCCAGGTTTGCAGAAGAGTTTCTTGGATTCTGGATACAGAATCCTGGGAGCTGTAGCCAAAGTCAGAGAAGCCTTCCAGCCTCAGGAACCAGATTTTCCACCTCCTCCTCCAGACCTCGAGCAGCTTCATGTAAGTACAGCATAGTTTGCAACAGAATAGTCGGTTACACTGGTAAAGTGTAGATTGAGCACTAAAATTACTGGAATATGTTTTTATTTCTTAAAAACAAAATGTGTTATGTGGCAGTCACACATATAAGCAGTCTCAAAGGAGAAGAGAGACAAAGGGAAGGTGGGAAAAAACAGAGGGGAGGGAGGGGGGAAAGCCCAGCTTTCAAGATAAGACTGGTTTTCTTGTAACAGAGAGCCCTTGGAAAATCCAGAAGGCCTGAGCCGTGATACCATCCCTGGCTCGATCCATGTACTGCTTATTTCCACTTAATAGCTTTTTTCCTCCTCATCCTTAGCTGACTGATGAGCTTGCCCCTCCAAAACCACCACTGCCAGAAGGGGAAGTTCCCCCGCCCAGACCCCCACCACCTGAAGAAAAGGATGAAGAGTTCCCTGAGCAGAAGGCAGGAGAGGCCATTAACCAGCCCATGATGATGGCTGCTAGGCAGTTGCATGATGAAGCTCGCAAATGGTCTAGCAAGGTGAGAGATTTACATATGTGTCTTGGGCCAAAAGGATTTTTTTTTGTCAGGATCGGTGTTTTAATTTGCTCCAGTCAATTGTCTAATTTTCTATTTTGGGCTTTGGCTAATAGTTCTGATTTTGTATATGTCACAGTTCTTTAGTTGGCTGTCTGCTACCAAGCTGTGTAGTAAACTGTAAGCTTGATTTTTCTAATATTTTTGTCTGTGAAGAATTTGGTGCTTTGCATAGGAATCAAAGACAGTGATGTGTGCAAATCTTCAGACAGTTTGTCTGAAAGACATGGAGTGCTCTGTATCTTTGGAGAGAAGGGCATTGATTTCCTTCAACTTTATAAATTTACTAGTACAAACCATGACAGTGATGTTTTGTGCTCAAGTTTTGAGTAACATATGCTTGAAATAATGTGCTTATTCCAAAGACACAAACAGTCCAGTTCCCCAGAATGTCTATTTTTGCCCAACTTAAACTGGAGGAGGAGAAAAGCGAGGCATGTGCCTGGAAACACTCTTACAGTGGTCCTGTGAAATCCTAGACAACTTATAATGATGGACTTCAATACGGAATTAAGCAGTGTTGTGGACAGGGTATATAGTATAGTGGCGGAGCAGTAAGAGTGAATATGCAAATCTACTTGACAGTTGCTTTAATAATCTCTACCCTTTGGCCACTTTTGTGTAGCAGCCAGAAGGGGAATGCCTGCAGAAGTCAGATTGAGGGTGCTGTAATGTCCATGAGGCTCCCCTCTCCATGGTTTTCATGAGCTAGTAATGGCAGAGATTAGACCAGCTATTAAAATTGTGGTAGCAGGAAGAATTCAGCTCTTAAAATCTTCCTCAGTGAACTATGTATAACCATGGTAAGACTTGGAGTTGCTAGCACGCTTTTTGAACATAGTTTTGTGCAAATGTCCATGCCTTCCGTGCTACAATGTTGGTGATCCTCGGAGCTGGCATTGCCTGGAGAGCAACCGGTGCTCAAGGCTCTGTACACTGACGCACTGACTGCTGAATTGACCGACTTTGCCAAGTCGGTATCGATGGTGCTGGCTTCAGGGCTCCTGAGGTGGTGTGTCTTAATTCTGCGAAGAGCTGGAAGTTACTTTGCAGTTCATGTGGTGTGGTTAGGGTTAGAATGTGACCGTATATAGATGACCTGGTCTCGTTCCTTTTTGTAATGTGTCCCACCTAGTATCAGGGCCAAAAGCCTTCATTTTCTTCCAATTTCAGCGATATGACAAAGTAGTCTGAAGTCTTTATTCTGGCTTGTAAATGCAAATGTCATTCATTTGCTTCTCTTAGAGAGGTACGTTTTGCCTCTGGTAGCAACTAAGGATTTCTCTGAACTTTGACCTTCTGCAGGTATAACTTAAAGGTTAGGATTTGACTTTTAAAAACTATATTTTTTTCCCTCCTAGTTAGACGGTGAGTTAAAAGATAAATTTAAACAGATGACAGAATCAACTTTAAATTTTTGTATATTTAAATAATGTGTGCCCAGTACAAAAGACCGTGGAAGTATAGATAAAATGCAAAAGGAATCTTGCACGTCAGTTTGTCTTTTTTAATCATTTTTCCCATTCTTTTGTATTTGCCACATAAATTTTGATATTATTGAAGGGATACTACTAGAATTTATTACTCATCTCTAAAGGTAGTTATGAAGTTGAGATTCTTAACTTCTGCTTCCTAAAAGTGCTTTGATATTTGAATTCCAGAACAATACACAGTAGGTAATAAAATGTTTTTACTATATATATTCTATATTAGATAATGTAGCTATTAAAATAAGTAGATTAAGTAAACCACAGAAATTCCTGCTAATTGCGGAAGAAGCTGTAAGGCTAGTGTATTTGGGTTCTGAAACACTATTTTCATTGCCCTTTCCTTAACTTGAGACAACGAACAAGGGAGTTAGCTTGACATTTAACCTTTTTAATTCCTCTAAACAGTTTCTTTTCAGTTAGAACAGAGCACAGTTACTCTGTCAATGTATCTTTAGGGAATGAGGCAGTGATCAATAAAACAGTTTGTCAGAGATGGCTTTTCTACCACCAACAGACCATGTTTTAATTTTGAAATATTTTCTTAGGTAGTCATACTCCAAAAGTACAGAGTTTTCAAAACTATTTCTATAACTTCTTAAGTCACTTGTTTATTAGGTGGAGGAGGAAGAGGGATTGATGCCCAGTGCCACTGAAGAAAGTGGATGAGATGAAGGATGGAAACACAAGGTCTTGCTCGTGTCAGATGGGAGCAGACTGTGTCAAATGGCTTCTGCTCTATCTGCCTGATTACGTTACCCTACTGATATTTCCCTGAGTTATGCTCATGGATGGGGAAGCAGAGAATAAAATTTTCCTTTTTCAGTTAGGTTCCTGCATCAAAACTGCCTTTAGAAAGGAGGGGATATTTGTTAGCTTTGAATTTGGGATTTAAACGATGCATCTTTTCTAAAGATGAGTCCGTCTGGCAGTATATAAATAGTGTATCTTGTTTCTTCCAAGTGTTTTGACTTTTTTCTTTGTTTTAGTTGTTCTTCTATAAAAGGCTGTATCTTGAGCAAAACTCCTTGAAAATGCATACTTTTTTTATAAGGGTTGTTTAGCTTGTTTCACACTTTGTTTATACTCTGAGAAGTGCACTTAACTGTAGCATATGTTTTAATGAAATGCTGCTGTATTCTAAGCACATGTACTGTTGAGCCACTGTTACCTCTCCTTTATAGGATCTACCCACAACTCACTAGATTTGTTTGAATCTTTTTTTCTTTCCTTAAGGTAATGGATACAACATGTTGTGGCAAAACAGTGTAATATGCTTCATAATCCTCTTTACTAACTTCATTTCAGTCTTTTTTTAAAAGAATTGTAATATTGCCAGCGTTCATGACATTTAGCATCACCTCTTTTCATAACCTGTTTTTGTTCTTTTCAATGTTATGTGCAGCACCTCAGTCTTTATTTTTACAGCCACCCATCCCTCTCCTTTATTACATGACAGAAAGCAGCGTGTCAGTGACTTGTCTGTGATGCTGCTGCTGTCTTTCCGTGTTACCTGTGTGTGAAGTGACTTTCATACAAGGCTTTTTGTCTGCACAGATGCCATGATCATCAGCTGCTGTGCCTGCTTCTATCCAGTCACGATGGCTTTCTTAAAAACCATTCATTTCATCATTGTCTTGCCAGAAAGATGTTGTTCTGAAAATCAGTTTCTGCATTTCAGAACTGTTTTAGTTGAAAATGTTGCTCCGTCTTTGAACTGTAACTGCTTAATGTTCTTGGTAACTCTGGTTCACAGGTGAAATGTTTGTTTTGCTTTTGCTAATCTTGTAGACCTTCCTCTTCTCCCTCTGACTCTAGAGTTGTCCTGTCATATCCTTAGAGGCCAAGAGGATATTTGGTCACTAAAACAGCTTAGTTCATGCTCTTCTACCAAATTCTGCTTCTCGTACTAACTGTCCCCTGTTTCTCCACCCTTGCTGCCACCTGCAAAGCCTGATGTGACTGTGATTAATGAAGCCGCAGAGGCTGGTGTAGATATAGATGAGGAGGATGATGCAGATGTTGAATTCACTCTCCCCTCTGACATTGAAGATGATTACGAGCCTGAGCTGCTGTTAATGCCAACCAATCAGCCTGTTAACCAGCCCATTCTGGCCGCTGCTCAGTCTCTGCATCGGGAAGCAACCAAGTGGTCTAGTAAGGTACTCCTGAGTCTCCCCCGGGCGACCGGTCTGCGTGCATCGGCCATTGGGGAACGCTGGCACATTTGCATCACTCTTGATCCCTGCTAGATCCCGTGACTCTGAATAAGTGTGTCTGCACTTCATCTTAAGGATTGAGAGTGGCTTCACAAGTTTGTTAGGTCTGTCTGTCAGTGCTAGACTGAAGCTTGATTTGGTTCACTTACTAATATCGAGAGGCTTCATCTCCCTTTGCATCTGCCTGTTGTTCTTTGTTATGGCAGTTTTCGAATTGTAATAGGGGTTGTCTTCCCTCCCCTGTTTTCCTTTTTCATTAATTCTGGCTACCTGTGAAGCCATGGGTAATGGTTTCTTAATGACTGTTGTAATGATGCAACAGAGCATACAACATTGAATAAGTCACTTAACACGCCCCTTGTGCTTTGCCTCCTTTGATGCCATCAGCTAAAATACATATGAACAAGGAATGGCTTTGTATGGCAGTGTTGACTGGAGGACTGGCTGCTGGCTTGCACCTGGCTGATCTGCAAACGCTGCTCTTGAGAGAGTCCTTTTTTGTTGTTCTTGAAGGAGCTGCACTGAATGTGTTGGCAGCTGAATTAAGATTGCGTTTAGGTGAAACCAATGGAGATGCGAGATGAGATTCAGATATTCACAAGTACCCTGTCTCTTCAGCCTAAACACAAATGTTTGCAAGATTGGTCACTTTATTGTTTTGTTTTGGCAATGGCATGCTGCAAAAAGTATGGCTGCTCATGTTCTATAACTGAGTTTAGGTGTGTATGTGTATATATGTACAGTAAACTATTCTTAATAAAAAGGACTTTCAAAATGTTCTTGTCCTTTTCAGATTCTGATGCTTGGATAACTTGTTAGAGGGCTTCGTAAAGGACATTGGTCCTAGTTACTTGATCCTTCTACGTGAAAACATGGAAAAGTTTTGTTGTCATGTGCATCCTAAGTGGTTATACTAGCAAACTGTTTAGACTATCAGGGCACAGTAACAAATAGTTCAGCTTCTTATCACCTGTATCTGCACAGTGTTTAATATTATGTTTGGGATTTTTCGTAAATTTAGTAGTAGCAAGTCACGTAAGTATGTGCACAGGGATGGAGAACACATTTGCTGAGTTCTCCCTGTGCACTACTTGCTCTGAGCTTCATGGATGTTAATCATGGAATTATACTGAAGACAGTGTGCTAATACTTAACTCACTGAGCTAATATTTCATCCACACAACAGGAATGTTTCATGGCACCAAATATTTCACATTTGTCTAACAACTTTCTACAAAGGTGAACCTGCATATACTAACACACTGCATTAACTGGTCATCTAGGTCTGCTTTTTCTTGCACTAGGTTTCTCTCTGGAACAGACTATGAGAAACACCTTGGTTGTACTTAGCTCACATGTTGCAAATATTTCTCAGAAGTATTTCTGTCACTGTATTTCTAATATATTTAATATAAGAAATCTGAATATAATCTGAGGAATATCAATAGATTATCTCTTAAAATATGAAAAGTATTTCTTCCCTGGAAGCCTTGTAATAAAGGGGAAGAGTTTGTTAAAAAGGAAGATCTCTTTTCAAAGAGTGAAGGAGATCATTGAAGCTCATTACTGCATCCCAGGCTGTGACAAAACTTCTCTGTTACTGATTCTCTTCCTTTTTTCCTTTACCAACGCAGTGAGGTAGCAGTATAGCTGATACTTCAGTAACTTCAGTTGCAGATGCCACTTAAGACTTCATGCTCAACTCTTCAAACTATACTATTTAATTAGTGCTATTTGGTTTAACAAGCTACTTAGCACACTTCTTAAAATAACATTGCTTTATGGGGAAATCTGGAATTTCTAATGCTAATAACATGCTTTGTCTTAAGGCCTGGCCAGCAGACCAGTAACCCATTCCATGGACAAACTAACACTTTCCTTTACCATTTCTTTTTTCCAGTTTTTTCTTGAGTGTTAGGAAGAAAATTATGTCACAAATACCTAATTAGTACAGATCTTCCCTGTTCCTTGAAGAAACCTCTTCTGTGTACACAAATCATTCTTCCATCCTTGACTTCTCGCAAGGGTTGGCTACCCAAAGCGTAGAGCGCCGCTCGCGCCAGCACTAACTGCTGCCCTTCTCTTCAGGGCAACGACATCATCGCGGCCGCCAAGCGGATGGCGCTGCTCATGGCGGAGATGTCCCGCCTGGTGCGAGGGGGCAGCGGGAACAAGCGCGCCCTCATTCAGTGCGCCAAGGACATCGCCAAGGCCTCCGACGAAGTCACCCGCTTGGCCAAGGAGGTGGCCAAGCAATGCACCGACAAGCGCATTAGAACAAACCTCTTGCAGGTAAGGAGCTACCTTGGAATGTCTCAAAAATGCCCTTTTAGTCTCAGTATGTGTGAAGGATGGGAGCACAGGAGCGCTGTACCAGTAAATCATGTCTATCTCTCCTTGCCTGGTTAGGCTTTGTCAAGTTTCAGGCCCGTTTTTAGATCTCACCGCAGTACGCGTTTTGTTAACATCAGGATCAGGTTACAGATGAATGGAAGATGCCAGTGCCCAAAAGAATGTGAAAAATATCATGCTGTGTACCCTGGTCTTTACAATGTCTACATTGCTTTATGCTTCACCTGGTCATTCCTCTTGTATCAAAGTATAATAGCAGTAATATAACATTCGTGGACTTTTATACGATCTCAGATGGTCAGCAATATCAGAATACATATTTGGCTAAGTAGACCCTTTAAGAATATCTAGAGGAGAGTAGAAGTGTTGCCTCCATTCTTCCAAAGAATTCATACAGCAAGTCAGGAGTGAAAGAAGAAGCTCGGTATCCTACCAATACTCTATGCTTATTTCTTATCTAATATTAAAGCAAAATGAGAAGATTTAGCTGAAAACCCAGTAGATAACTTACTGGTTCAGTTTACAGTGTGAAATGTTTAATGCTTATTCCTTAGGTCTGCGAGAGAATCCCAACCATCAGTACACAACTCAAAATCCTCTCCACTGTCAAAGCCACCATGCTGGGCAGAACTAATATCAGTGATGAAGAATCAGAACAGGTAAGAGGCATAAGATTGATGGTACTATGAGCTGTTTTTCTCAGTTTTATGGGAAGAAGATGTAATCTCAGATGTGTTCCAGGAATTCAATGTTAGAAACCTTAGCTCAGCTGTGTGGTAAAGCTAATTTTGGTGTAGTGCTGTGGTTTCTGGTTCAAAGGCTATTGTTGAATAGTGGGACATTGATTCTTCCTAAGCCATGAGGTTATTTTTGTTTGAAACTTTTATATGAACAATTTGTTAATTGCTTCACTTGATAGCAAAAAGAGCTAGCAAAAAGAGTTGGTTTCCAAAACTGTAGGGCAGATGAGACATCTGAGGGGCACTGGCACCCTCTAGGGGATTGTAGTGAAAAATACTTTATTTTCCAATTTAACTGACAAGGTTTCCTAATCCTGCAGATCTGACTACTTTTTTGTTGTTGTTTCTTGGAGAGAGTAGTCAACTCTGAGACACGGAGCTTTATTGAGATTTTCAGTAGATGGACAGTGAGAAAAACAGGATCTTGTTGTAAGTCAGCCTAGTACTTGGTTTCCAGAGACTGATGGTTTCATTTTCAGAATTTAGGCTGAGTTAAGAATGATAGTAGTGGCGTGTTGATGTCCTATTAATGCATTGACAACAATTTTTCTTTTCCTTTCTTAACAGGCAACTGAGATGTTGGTTCACAATGCCCAGAACCTCATGCAGTCTGTAAAGGAAACGGTGAGAGAAGCAGAGGCAGCATCCATTAAGATCAGAACAGATGCTGGATTCACCCTTCGCTGGGTCAGAAAGACTCCGTGGTATCAGTAGGCACTTGCCACATAAGTGTCGTATTCTGTGACATAAAATGCCTTTTTTTTCAAAACAGGAAAAAAACATTCACAGCAAAAGGTGCTGTAGATGACTTTAAAATTAGCTTTTCCTAATGCCCCATTCTGAGGGTATGGATTATATGAATATGTATTTCAAATCTTTAGAAAGCATTTGATATCACACAAATCAAAATTGCTTTCAACAACAGACAGTTTTTCATGGTTTGTTTGCTTTTGAAGGTTCTCTTAATGAATTTTGTAATCCCAGAAGCACATTTCATTTATGCACTGTATATTCCAGTAGTTTCCATGTGATGATATAATATATGGATTTCACTTTGAGCTTGTACTGAAAGTGTAGGACACTAAAGGACGCTAACAGTGTTACTTGGCAGTGAAACAGGGGCAATTGTGGATATATAACCATTCAACTTCTCAATAGAATTGTATTAGCTGTTCTTAAACCACCATGCTGCGGTTTGCTGAGAATGTTGGACAGTGTTTTTAAAAAAAAAAAAAAAAAAAAAAAAAAAAAAAGGAAGGCAGAACAGAACATTTGTGAAGATGAAAAATTCTATTTTGCTGAAATGATGTTTTTTTTCTTGCTGTTAATTTTGCCTGGCAACAATACGATAAGTCAACAAAAACTGGAGCTGTCCTTGTCACCTGTTGTCATGCTCTAGGTGGGCATTCCAGAGCTCTTGTTCTGTCCTGGAAGGCTTCGCAGTGGATTTCATGCCACACTGTGGGCACCTTGAGCCTTATGGTTGAAGGCCTTAAGTCGCAGAGCTTTCCTTCTTGCTCACTTCAGTGACGGGAGCTGAACAATCTTGGTTCTCTTAAGGTAGCTGTACATATTCAAACGAACATAATCATGTCCAGGACCGAAAATGTCATGCCCTGGCTCCTTTCTTTTGAAAACCAAATGAGCACATAGACAGGGCATCGGTCTACTTCTTTTTCTCTTCTTTTTCTTCTATCCACCATTATTCTAGTCACTCATGGTAGAAATTAAAAGATGAATAACAGTGTTCAATTCAGGAGGACTTTTTGCCTCTCTGCCCTTCTTTCCAGCAATGGAACAGCAGTTGCATAAGCTTTTCTGAATCCAAGTACTGCAGGGACACAAAATCCTATGTTCAGGTAGTCGGATGACTACTGACTGCCAGTCAGTGGTTCCCAATATTAACCCTTTTCAGATATTTTTACTATTTTTAAACTTGAGTCCTGAAGTTCAAAAAACTTTTCAGGTTCTAGTAATAGTAAATTGAACTAAGTGTTAGTATGTCTTCTTTTTTAAAAAAAAAAAAACCTGTTAATAACAGACTTGGGATATTTTTATGCTTCCATCATTGACCATGCTTTTGTATGTGTCCATGTTAATTGCTCAGTAGTCTCCCCTGGCATTTGACAGCGAAGGGGAACTGCTGTTTTCCAGTGGGTGTCTCTGCTGCAAGGATCTCCTCCCACAGCACCCCGGGCCTCCGGGGCCCCCTGAGCTTCCCCTTGCTGAGAAGTGTCGCGTGCTCAAACTGCCCCGACTCCAGTGCCCTTGTGGCAGAGCCGCTCGGCCAGCCCACAGCCCCGAGGAGGCGGCACGGGCACACGCGGCAGCTCCTCCGGCTGGAGCCCTTACTCTACACTTGGATTTTTTTCTCCTTTCCACTGCACTGTAACCTAAAAAGGGAAGTTAACCTGATCTATAAAAGCAGCTGCCTCAGGCTGACTGTGGCGGGGGAAGTGTGTGTCGGTCCTCAGCTCGTGCCTGTGTCTGGGCATGAGGAAACACGTGGTACTTGGGATCTTTCCTTAGGATTCTCTTCTGGCCATTACCTGTAACAGGAAGAGTGAGGAAGAGATGCCAGAGCCTTAACCTGAATGTCTTGCATTTCGTTGGTTTATACCAGTTCTTAAACATAACTGTAATGTAGTAATTTCTATTTAATAGTAAATAACACTGAATAGCTAGAGGTTATTTTTAAGCAGCCTTCTGAATAGCCTTCCTGTATTTTTTTGCAATGTTCCTTTTTCCCCTATTCTTTTGTCCCTTCCTGTCCCTTCCTACCCCAATTTGGGCTTCTCCATGAGTTTTTTTAGCATCACTGTTTAGTTGCTTGACTGATATTAATGCAATATTACTAATGCCTTTAATACATAATTGTATATGCCAAAGATCACGTTTTGTTTATTGAGGAATGTTTGTGGGAATGTTATGAATCATGGTTGCCTTTGATACTCTTCCAGAATGTTTGCTATGAGTTCTTGGACCGTTTTGTAGAAGCCAAGATGCTTGTCCACCTTATGCAATTACTGCTTTTTTTTTGAACACTATTGGTCTTCAGACCTGAAATGCAGCAAAATTTGAAAAAGACCGTGAATGTCAGTTAAGAATGTTTTACCACTATAAAACTTCATTTATAAACCAAAATGTGTTATATAGTCTAATGTTTTCAACCTTTTTCTTTGGTCTGTTAAACAATAAAAATGCATTTGTACAAATGTTAGCTTGTGAGCATTAACAACTGATGATTGATGACAACTTTTTAAGAGAGGGCAAAAAAATGAAGCACCAGAAATATCCAAAGTAATAGTGTATTTAAAATATTTTGAACAGAAAGGTGCAAAACTCCTGAAACAGGAAAAGAGAGCTAAACAAGGTGGGTTTTTGCTTTTGCATCAGTAAAATGAGCAATGAAAATAATTTATTGGAAGCTGTGGCTTAGTGGGAAGAAATAAGATTTCTTGCAGATGGCCTCATGGCCACCTGTTCTAATACTGCCAAGCCAAGTTGTGGAAACTTGAGATGGGATTTATCTGATCTAGTTGATGAAGAGGAAGGAACCACTGCTCTGGCGAATGCAATGTATTTAATTCATTAACCTGCATTTCACTTGTCAAGGCTGCATGTAAGGGCAGTTATCAGGGAATCGCTGCCCTGTTTCTTCCGGTTCTTCAGAGCAAGAACATCTTACCACCGTTCATGGAACTCCTGTGCTATGTATAAAGTGCCTACCGATTTCACAGCATGTAGAGCAAAGCCCACGACGCTTTGACTTCCCAGATGTTCTTGGTGATGGGGGACTGAGAATATAGTCTGACAGTCCAGGAAGGCACCTGGTATTGCGTTACACTGCATGAAATGCACATGTTTTTTGGTTGCCGTTTTCCCTGCCTGTTTGGGGAAGAGGCTGTCATGAGTTTATGTAGATGCCATAATACTCTTAACAGCAAATATGACCAAATGTGTGCCTCCTTTCCTCATCCTTCTCCCTTGCCTGTAAATGTGTGTGTGGGGCAGGGCAGGGCAGGGGGCGGGTGGTTGTTTTTTAATTTTGGGGCTAAGCTGTACAGCCAGGAGCTTTGCATCCTTTTTCTGATGGCTGAGCTGTGGGAGAGGGCTTGTGCTAAGACTGTGATACAGGAAAATGCAATCTTGAAGGAAAGCTTGTAAAACCAGCCATTTTTGATACTACCTTATGATCCATTTCAGTGTCACTTCTCAATGGGCATATTAGAGCATTTCCAGACTGCTCATGTAAACAGTTGCTCTAGCTGCTCAGGATTTCAGCTTAGGACATATCAATTACATCTTAAGTCAAGACTCTTAGTAAAATTGGTTTAACTGAAGGATGTTAATTACTGTAACACTCAGTAAAACAGTAAATGAGCAATGAACTGATAGATGATTTGGCAAATGGAAAACAGTAGACTGGAAGCTTTGTCCCTGTTAACTCACAAGAAGCATTTATCTGAATAATACAAGGCTTTCTTACAAACATTGCTCTCTAAAAGCACTGTTTTATCTACAAAAACCTACTGTTGGTTCAGAAACTGGAAGGTCTGCGGGCTGCTCACCAGAGTGGTGCTGCTGAAGCTGGTGCCAGACAAGGTGCTCACGGTGCTCAAGGTCTCACAAGGTGCTCAAGGTCTTGCTGGCTGGCTGCAACCTTCAGGTAGGTTCCGTTCCCTCCTCTTTGTTCTTAGACTTGTAATCAGTTTTGTTTCCAAGTTTGAAGTTTGGGCTATTGAATGAGGTGAGTTCATGCACTCATCTAAGCAAGCACT